CTACTCCTACTCCTACTCCTACTCCTACTCCTACTCCTACTCCTACTCCTCCTACTCCTACTCCTACTCCTACTCCTACTCCTCCTACTCCTCCTCCTCCTGCTGCTGCCGCCGCTCCTACTCCTACTCCTACTCTTACTCCTACTTTACCACTAGTACTAAGAAAACAACGGCTATTACTAGTATACAGCAACAGCCACAACCACAGGAAATGCACAACCATCATGCAGCATGTAGATTGCCAAGAAAGGAGATTTGGAGTCTACCATGGCAGGGAAGACTTGGGCAACTTCCCCCATCTCCGCCTGTTTCCTCTTGGGCGGTGGTGGCCGCACACGGGAGCTCCTGGACAGCCGTATATTGGCCACTCTGGAGGGAATGAAGTACCAACAAGCAAAAGTAGAGTAGAATCTGACCCTGGTGACCGTCTACCTTCACTACTGTACTGGGGTCACCCAAACTATTGATTGCCTGAGCAGTGGTTTCATAAAATATTCATCATCTCCTGACAAGGTTTGATGTATACAACACGGGTGGTGCAGGATGTTGCCCACCAGCAAGGGAGAACAAGTTCCTTCGATAAATTGATCCAGTCATCAATGGAGCAACAACTAAACCACTGCGCAAACTGTACACTACACACGAGTATGGTGGCATCCTAGTCCTCAAGCCCTGGTTGAGCCCAACAGTCTGCCAAATATAACATAAATATGAATAATGTAATCCCCAATCCACTCCGATACCATCGAATCGGGAAAAAAACGAGGTCTCCTGCGTCTCAACGCTGCTTCCAGCTCACGATTGCCTGCGCAAAAAGCACCGTCTGAGCGCCAAGATTCACGAAAGCTCAACTGCAAAGTTCACAGAAGCGACACTGGAAGCGGCACTTGTCAACCGACCAAAACAAGGGCATTGATTTGGTTGACGATGGTTCTTCGTAAGCTAGCACATGGTGTAGTTGCTACACTTCATTACACTTCCACTTGGAAACATGTCAAATTGGATCTGATTCCCTCCAGGATCTCGAACAACTTCAGTGTCCTGAGGTGGTGAAGTGGGAGGAGCCTACTAGGAGCCATCCTGTGAGTGTCTGCCAAGCATGAATCAATGCATGTTTATTCCTGTTTGCCACCGCCGGAACCCTCCAAGGGGAGAACACACATGAGAGATCATGAGAGTCAGATAGAGTCAAGACATCAATGTTCAATCCAATTCACATCGAACCACGCCCTAAAGTGATCAAGACATCAATGGGTAGCCCCGCTTTTCGAACAAGCGTGGCACTGCTCGAAGGTCAGCAGGCCCCCACGGGACGGAGACAACATATCCTACCAACCAACCCACACACATCCATGTCCTCCACCGAAATGGAACGCCGCTCACTTCCAAGAGTCCAAAGGCGCCTTCGGTGAGGCTCAAGGACTGTTGCAGCATCAAATCCGCCACACAAAGTGCCTGGACGTCAAACACCACCCCACACACACAACCCCTCCAGTAGGCCTTGAGACTCTTTCCGTTTCTTGCTGGGGCAGTCCACTGTATAGTGGTTAACCTTGTGACTGACATGACGTCCTTCGTCTTTTTCGTATGGGAAAGGATCCTTTCCAATAGGAGCGGAGCGTTTTCCTCAAGGATCCTTTCCAAAAGTCCTTTCTCCCCTTGAACGACGTGACGAGAAGTGAATAACGCTCCGCCCGAGGAAAACGCTGGTCGACATCCAAATCTTCCTCCAGTCGAGCAAGGACTGTTGTTTTCTTGGTAGCTGAGCTCGCTATGGGTTGCCTGCAAATTGCTAACCTCAGGCGACTCTGCATCTGTTGCCGATGAGAGCTTGTATCTGAGCAAAATGGAACTGTGGAGGAATGCTGAATACTGCATGCCCAAAAAGAGTTGAACATCATTGAACGCTTGGTTTACGAGTGCCCAAAGTTGACAGTGAGGACCTGGTTCTAATAAATATCCCCGAACATCTCCGTCTCCTACCTTATACATCTCATTTTAGCTGAATTTCCAAAGGTGTTCATTCTGCGTTGGGTGAGTTACATGTCCTAACCTGTACTCGACTCTAAGCAAACAATCTTCAGCATGAAAAGGGCGACCAAGCGGTAGGAACAAATCAAGGGAACAAAGACAGTGAAGTTTAGACTGGTTACAGTATATTATATGTTTGAATGGCCATCCTGCCCTTACCAAGGCCACATTGATGATCATGCCTCTTCAACCTGTTACAACACAGTGTTTTGACCATACGTGAACATATCCCTCGGGTGGAAGGACACGACAACATCTCACTGTAACAAGCTGCAACGTCTACGTTACAAGACCCAGCTCTACCCCCGAACCAATTTGTCTGGCACATAAGAGGCACCTCAAATGCTGAGCATCTTGAAAGAAAAAAGCCTGTTGCAGCCTGTTACGCACAAACATAAGAACACACCCACACATAATACTTACCTACCGTGTTACCGTATAATATCAAATATTATCAATTGACTTAAACGATCTTAAACATATTTAAACAACTGCTAGGCGGCTTGGCCACTCAAATCACCGATGGTTTCTTATAACCTCCCGTGTCTGCCGGCCTGCTGCCAGCATTCGGCTGAGCACAACTCCTTCAATGCACGGTTGCACTCGGACTCGTCCTTGGTGGCAGGGCACTGGTCCTGCGCACCCCGAAGGCCAACCCTCCACCCGCACCCTGACCTCATAGGGCCAACACCAAGCAGGGCGTGGAAGACGGGGCAGGAGATGCCATGACATGGGCAAATACAGTGAATCATTGAATCATGAGAGTGTACAGTGTACATGTCTAAAATATAAAAGGCCAGCAAACAACATCCAAACAATATCTCTCCCTTATATTATCTCTCCCAAAGGCTGACAAAGATTCCATATTCGGTATGGAAAAAAACACTTGCCAGGGGTCGCATTCTTGGGGTCGCCAGATTTGGCGCCAAAAAAAATCCAAGGGATGAATTTGGTGCCGCGAACTGCCACGGCATGGTGGACCTGGACGTCACCGATCTGAGAAAAAGACGTCTCATTCGGTCTCGTTGCAATCGAGCGGCTGAAGCCAACTGGGAGCCCTATTCAGCAGGCTTGGGCGGGCTGTTGGCGGTGACCCGTTCATGGTGATTCAACCGGCTCAGGAAAATGTCTTTCAATGGTCGCTTGGGAAAGTGGAAGGTGACAAGTAAGCTACCCTCCGCTTCCAAACCCTATAAAAAGAACGGGTCTGATCCGATACCTCGGGTCTTGGTGATGGCACCATGCAAACATCGGGTTTTCATCGAAAACCCCGGGTTTTCCTGTACACCCTTTCTTTTGGTATTCCAGGAGGGTTCAGTTTGTTTGGAGGTTGCAGTGGATAAACATTTCAACCCTTCGTCAGGTGCGTCATGGCTCGTGTCACATGTGAGCGCAGGACATCGAGGAGATTAGGTCTTTCATCTTGGATTTCAACATTTCAAGGAAACACTAGCCAATGTCGGAACTTCCCCCGAAGACATGTTCATCCCTCAAGCTGGAGACTTCAACCAAACATGATACCATCGTCACACGATGCTTGGAAACTTGGGCACTCACACTCTCCTCGGAGCTGCCCGCTGGCGCGATCCTTTTTTCAGCAGAGCCGGGAGCTTGGTCGCCACTCGAGTCCTGCAAGATCCGTGAGTGGACTGACGTGAAAAGTAGCAACCCTCGAAGAAGCTGCATACAATATCCATGTGGCATATATGTGTGTGGTTGCCAAGCAGTTTATTGAAGTTGATGAGTTTTCTAGCACCATTTTGGTTCAAATTTTTTGAGAGAGAACTCTCTCGGGGCTATAGAGCATCCAAGAGCCATGTCGTCTTCTGAAGCGAAACCAAAGCCAAAGGGAAGGCCGGTTCAGCCCAAAGAAATGCTAGACATAACAGGTGTCGGCAGCGAGTGGGATTCTTGTGAAGAAGTTAGGGATCGCATGAGGAAGGACGGGCTTTTGATGTCAGAAAAAGTGGTTGAAGACATCCCATCCTGCCTTGACGAGAAGTGTGTCTTGTGGCCATTCTTGGCACGGATGAGTTTGCTGCGCACACGTCCTATGCCAGATGTGGCCAGTTTGCGCGTGGAAATCCAGGAGTTTTTTTTGACGTGCAAAAGGCCTGCCACCAAGGACGATGAAGCTGAGATCATTCGTTTGTCCTGGAGGATTAGGAAGCTCTTGGGCTTCATCAAAATGAAGACCCGCCGCCACGAGGTTTCTACGGCGCCTTGTTTGGACTGGTTTGGAACAAAACTGGTTTCATTTTTGGGGAGGACGGTTGCTTCAAATTTCCATTCTGCACTTGAGGTGCCGGACTTCCAAGATATGTGCCTTGAGCTGGACCCTTCGCTTCAGGCTAGAACACTGGGATAATCTAACTCGACTGATCAAAAGCTTGGCTACAATGCGCAACCTCTTATTGTCTAACAACTGGCTTTCTTCTCAAATCACAGCCCTTTGCACGGAGGAGGTTGTGGATGCCATCAATGCCAGATTGAAGGCTCGCAAGGCTGCAAAGGACAGGTTTTTGTGGCGCATCGGCTTTTGAACAAAATATGAGATGTTTTGATGGAAAGCTGTTTGTTTCGGCTCTTTGGATCAATTCAACTAGCCTCTAGCTTCACACATCACGCAGGAGACGGGTGAAGCGGTCGATGACGAGGACGACTGGGATGAGGAGGGTGAAGAGTCAGAGGGGGGCAGTGAAAAGGGGGGCGATGAGGCGGAAAAGGAACCCGTTGAAAAGGGGTGCGATGAGGCGGAAAAGGAACCCGTTGAAGAGGGGGGCGATGAGGCGGAAAAGGAACCCGTTGAAGAGGGGGGCGGTGAGACGGCAGCAAAGGAACCCGTTGAACCTGTACCTATAGCCACAGAAACTGTTCCGGGCGATGGGGTGGACACACGACCGGCGGAACCTGCACCGTTGCCTCCACCTCCTGATCCAGTCGCGAAGAATGAAACGAGCAGCCAGACTTATTGCTTATGTTTCTTGTTGCTTCCTTCAGATCTCAAGTGTGAGAGAAATGTCGCTTATGAGTTATCCGGTTGCTCAGGTATTAAATCTGATTTGCTGAAGCGCAAAGCTGAAGTAGAAGAAAAATTGAAGAAGCCATTGGGATCGCATTGCGTGATAACAATGTTTCACAACGCTGATTCAACTTACTTGTCACCCTTTGAGCCTATGGCGTTCTCTGATAGCCTTTGGTATCTGAGGTTGAGAGAGAAGATTCACGCCGATGCCCAGATGGCCTTGGAGCAGAAGTCTGCTGCAGCCCACCCCAAAGTTCCAGAACAAAAATCTCCGGATACTCCGTCGCTGGCAAGCCCTGCGCCCCACATCTCTGCTTCTGCAGTTGCAGGCTTGCGAAATGTTGCATATTGGTTGGCATGCGTGTACATAATGTGGTTTTCTGTTTGTTGTTTTCCTTGTTGGAGGCCAGTCAAGTGATGACACACTTCCGTATGAACCTGCGGCAGTTGAGCTTCCGGACAGTCTACCACCAACATCGTCTCCGGCCAAGACTGCAGAGGAACGTCGTGCGGCTTACCAGGGTGCTGGTGAGTTAGGCTCAGAAACTGCAGTTCTTGGGGCGACCTCGGAACGTCCGGAAGATCCAAAAGATGCGGAACCATTCACGGAGAGTGATGAGGAGGCGGGAATGTTTCTTTTGCATATTGCGTCGTAAGTTTTGAGCAGCTTACTGATCGGGCCACTCACATGGCAGGAGAGACCTCCCGGACCGCTTGTCAGCAGGCAGGATCAACTTGATATGAAACCAGAAACAAAAGGGAAGGGCAAAGGTCGAGGAAGGGGCAAAGGTCGAGGAAGGGGCAAGGACAACAACCAGGAGAGTGCAAGGGCTGGCTCTGCTAAGCGTAAGCGCTCAAACGAGGCTGTTGGGGCAAAGGCTAAGCAGGCCAAACCTGCCGGCGACGAGTGGGATGATTGGGAAGCTTGGGTGCCTTGGGGGAGCGATGATGTTGAGTGGGATGGTTACTACTGGTGCCCAGAGTCTTCCAGGTGGTTGTGGGATAGCGTCGCGTATTGGGATGCACAAATGGCTAGGGATGAGTTGCAGGCTATGAGTGAAGAGGCCAATCCAAGGTTGAAGAGGCAGCGCATGAAACAAGCAGTGGAGGAAACCGACCCACCAGGTGCAAGTGCGAGTAAAAGGCAACGTCGCAGCAAAGAAGCACAGCCAACAACAACAGCAAAGCAAGCACGTACTACAGCAGCAAAAAGCAAGGCAGCAAAAGCAAAAGGCAAGACAGACAAGGAGCAGCCAGAGCAAGCAAGCCCCGACGCGACACAACAACCGAAGTTCATGAAGGAGATTTTGGCTGTCTTGCGAAACTTTGTCGGTGTCGATGAGTGTGATCAAAAAGCCGAACTCCAATCGCAAATATCAGATTGGCAGCACAAAACATGCAAGTTTGGCAATGTTTACTGGACACGTGGAACCTGTGGCCTGCATTGCTTGAAAGAAGGGAAGGACTTCGCTCATTTCTCTTGTCCGGTGAAAGAGCTGCCTTTGATGATCAAAATGGCTGCATCCTTTTCCGCAGCTATGATTACCGCCCCTTGGGTTGCGACAGAGTTGAAATCTCAAAAATGTTCATCGGGGGAGTTGGATATTCAAGTTGGTCGGTTACATTAGCTCAGGCCGCTCATGCAGATTCAATTGTGGCTAAATCTGGCAAGCGCAAGAACCTCCGGGACTATGAGGAGCTGCAGGATGTAATTGCGCGTGTGAAGGGGGCCTGTAAAGATGCTGCCCTCGAGTTCTCGAAAGAACAAGAGAAATCAACATGATTTCCTTACCGTTATCTTTTGCCATGCGCTTCACTGTTTGCCAGTTGCGTGCTGAGGGTTGCCAAGTTGCAAACAACTTGGCTTGGGGGTGCACGCAACCGCTGGCTTAGCACAGAAAAGCCGTTAATGGCAATTTGCGATGAATCTGGTGAATCAAGGTCACTTCCAAATAACCAAATATGTAAATGCATTGTTTGCACACAATGTACAACGTTAGCCTTGGAGTCGTGGTGGCCTCATGATCCCCGCACAACGGCGCTCAACCATCTTCTCAAAACTGTTGAACATCTCAGTGGTTATTATTGTGATGGTTTCCAAGCAAACTGTTCATGGCACATCGATTTGCGGAAGCAGCCGTGTGCAAGAAATGCTCAAGGAGCAGCTGCACATGCCAGGTTTAAAAGGCTATTGCTGAACGTTCTTTCCGACATGCGCGCGTTGGAGTTGGTTTGCGTTTTAGACTGCACTTTCTCTCTTCTTACCCAAGCCCTATCAACCTCTCACACCAACTTGCACTCTTTGATTCCTGTCCTGCCAAGGCGATGGCGAATGGGCAAAGGTGGGATCCGCCGCAAGAACCTGTGGCAAATCCGGGCACAGCAGCTATCGCTGAAGCGTACTCCCTGCCAGCTTACAAGCATTCAAAGTGTCAGATTCAGCTTCTCTAGGGTCTTCTGCATGTGCGCTGGACAATTTGGTATTTCCATACTTCCCGTCGCCGTATGATGTCCAAAAGAACTGGGGTAAACCTTCGGAGCAAAACATCACAAATTTGACATCAGTTCATCCTGCAACGCCCAAACCTTTGGAGCATGTTGGACTTGGACGCCCTGGTTTACCGCCTAAAAGTGCTTCGTGCACCAAAGGCCAGAGACCTGTGAATACGATTTGCGGTTCCTCTGGTTATCAACTCTAAAACTGGCAGGCCTTCGTGCTCTGCGTTCTGCTCTTGGTGTGGAGCTTTGACGTTC